TGTAACCAGTGGATTCTTCACTATACATGCAGTTTGGAGGTTCTTTTATTGATGTAGATAATGTTTCATTGGATATCTTTATGAATGTCTTTACATGGACCAGATAAAACTACCTGGATGTAAATTTTTAGCATCGAAAGACTAGGTCAAAGATACACATCTTTACTGCCAAAGTGTCTTTCAAAGGATTACTCATATTTAAACTCTTAACTATATGATAGTTTGCTTCTCTGCATATATCCCAGGCCTGGGTATTAAGCTCTGTACCTACAGCAGTTACTACGTAATTGGACTAATAATATAAAAGTTGTGGCAAGAAACTATCCACAAGGCCTGTTATGTACCATCTCCACGAATGGTTTCTGACAGTTTTCACAACCAAATTATGCAGTCAGCAGAGTCAGGCCAAAAACTTGATGAAATGGTGATTGCCTCTCTAGGCTGGCCTTTTGTTCTGCTGTGATTACCAGTTTCTCTGAGTAGTCTCACGATTATTATAGTAGTCACCTGGATACCTTAAATGAAAACATTGACCAGTGAAAACATTCCTCTACATGGTTACTGTATAGTAATCAAAATTCAGAATTTAAAATTGATTTGATCTGTTATATGCAGATACTGTTAATTTTCTAAAGTCTTCTATGGTTGAAATACATTGCAAACCATATGTTTCATGGTCCTGTTTTTGTGTCTTTAACTGGGTCAGTTTCTTATTTTGTCTATTTCAGAATTTGAATTTGTTCCTCATGTTTGGATTCATGCTCTACATTTTCACCATCGTAGTACAAAAATGATATTATTTCTTAGTGCTTTCTGTAAATGGCATTCAGCATGATTTTGTTGTTGTTGTTTGTTTTTTTTGTGTTTAACTCAGTCTCATTCAGTCTTTCTCTTTCCTTAGTTTATGGGGAGCTGGCTTTCTGGGCATGAACCCAGGGTTTCATACATCCTGCCATTGAGCTACACTCTGCTTCATTTAGTGATACATACAGCTGGAGGAGTTTTCCCAGACTGTGATAAATACTTCTTTTTGAGGCTACAAATTTGAAGATTTTCAATGTAACGGCATACTTTTTTTAAGCCCCCACTTATCCATCCCTGCCACAAGAACTTTCACCAACCTCCTGTAGAGATACTTGAAAAGCCAGGTGCAGAGTGCAGTTGAGGATGATGGTCTTCAGCATGTATCTCTTTCCACTCCAGTGCATTGATACAAATTGCTGGCAGGTTGTTAAAAGATGTTTGTAGTTGTTTCAAATTCAAAGAGCAAAAGTAGCCGGGTGGTGGTGGCACACGCCTTTAATCCCAGCACTCGGGAGGCAGAGGCAGGCGAATCTCTGGGAGTTCGAGACCAGCCTGGTCTACAAGAGCTAGTTCCAGGACAGGCACCAAAGCTACAGAGAAACCCTGTCTCGAAAAACCAAAAAGATTTGTATAACTTTAAGCTACATAAAATCTACCAAGCAGAAGAGGGGGTTGGGCATGAAGTGCCAAGTTTTTCTTGTATAGCCTCCAATCCTTTAGAATTTCTAATAGAGAAACCTGTAAACCCATTCCATTTACACATACTTCCTTTCTGCTGAGAAAGAGATGTAAGAAGTTTCCTCCCACACCAGATCTCCTTCTTTCTATATTCACCAATGTTTTAAGGAAATGTACAACCACAAATGTACAAAAAGGGTAAAAGTTACCAAATCTCGGCATCTTAACATCTTTTCTGGCCTAAAGATAATTCCCATTAAAAACAACAACAGAAGCAAAAACCAACCAATTCAAATATCAAAACAAGAAAGGAGAGAGAAAAAAACAAAAAACAAGAAAAAATGCTGTGCGTACAGAACAATTTAGTAATCATACCACTAAGCCAATGTTGGGCAATAGCACTACGGTTTTGGAAGAATATTAATGAATTAAAAAGCAGGCGTAAATCATGGGGAAATCTCTGTCAATGGGATCCTAGGGCTTAAAGTAATTCTATTTTTATTAATTTTACTGTTTGCTTCATGTTTAAATGGGATTAAAAAGAATTCAATGCAACCAATACCAACAAATTACTTGCAGGAGAAAGTAGAAAACATTACAACCCAAACTTCTATAAACAGTATTAAATTATAATAAAGCACTGGGTTTCTCTGTAGCTTTGGTGCCTGTCCTGGAACTAGCTCTTGTAGACCAGGCTGGCCTCGAACTCCCAGAGATCCACCTCCCTCTGCCTCCCGAGTGCTGGGATTAAAGGCGTGCGCCACCACTGCCCGGCTAAGTTATACAAATCTTATGCCTGCTGTCAACTCTGCAAGGTCGTATATGAATCAGTTCTTTTATGTGTGGAAGAGACATTTTTCCTTTGAGTTATCTTCTATATTTTTACAATAATTCCTCCTCCTCTTGACGTAGATCCCTGAGCTTTGAGAGGAGGGAGTTCATAAAGACATTGCATTTAGGGTTGAGTGCTGCACATTGTCTAGTTTGTGGGTCACTGTGTTAATTACCATCTAGAAGAAGCTTCTTGTCCCTAAACAAGAAGCCATTTGTAAGTGATACCTCCTGGGAGAGGAAAAATCCGTGTTCTCTAGTGGAGTGTTCTGGAGTATATCATGTAGCTTGGACTACATGAGAAGGGGGTATGTGTGAACTTCAGAGTTAGAAATGTGAACTGTTATATATTTTATTGGATTTTTTTCAGAAAACCTATTTTGTGAGCACCCTCTCCAATAAATGTAGCAATGGCATATCCATTAAAGATCAGGGTTGCATGCAACAGTGATTGGATCTTTATTTTATACCAAGCATAACAGCAAGGTTGAATGATGTGTGGTTTTTGTGTAAATGTTACCAGGCCCAGCAGGCTCTTTTTTTTTTTTTTTTTTTTTTTTTTTTTTTTTTTTTTTTTTNTTTTTTTTTTTTGTTCGTTTGTTTGGTTTTTCAAAACAGGGTTTCTCTGGGTAGCCTTGACTGTCTTGGAATTCTCTCTCCTTCTCTCTGGCCTTGAGCTCAGAGATCCTCTTGCCTCTGCCTCCTGAGTGCTGGGATTCAAGGTGTGTTCAACCACTGCTGTCCGTAAAATACATTTTTAGTTAAGATATAATTATATCACTTCCCTAGCCTCCCAATTCTCCTCCCTCCAACTTCTTTCTTGTCCCCTTCCTCACTCTCAAATTAGTAGACTCAAATTTCCCTGATTATTTATGGTTTACACATGTATGTGTGTATATATGTGTGTGTGTGTTTGTGTGTGTATGAGCATGCAAATATATAAATGCAACCTGCTGAATTGTTTTTGTTGATTGTGAATATATGTTTTCAGGGTCTGACACTTTGCACTAGACAACCAGTTAGGAGTCTCAGCCCCTGGGAAAAGCTAATTCTTCCAATCAACAGTCATCAGTTGCTTGTGGTTCCTTCTCTAGGAGTGTGATTCCCATAAGATTTCCCCCCCTTGGTGTTGTCATGTCTTGATATTGTCATTACTTAGGCCTTGTTTATGCATCCATTTCTGTGAGAGACTTTCACAGAAGGCTTCCTGGTGTCTGACTCTTAAAAAATCTTTCTGCCCTGTCTTCTGAAATGCTCTTTGAACCATAGATAGAAGAGCTGTGACGTAGATGTGTCCTTCAGGACTAGGTTCCCTACAATCTGTGATTTCTGTTTTGTGGTTTTCTGTGATAGTCTCCATGGTGAGAGATGCTATATGCTTATCTGTGGGTATGTACTTATGAGTGTAAGGATAAAATTTAGAATATAGTTACTAATTATTCAGCAGGCAATTGTATTGCATGATCTTTTTTCACATTTCCTATGGGGAGCAGGCATGATGTTATATTAGCATGCTATATTGATATTGTCATTGACATGATCTAGTGAGTATTTATAGAAGGGGTGGGTTAAGTACTCTGACTGATATTTACTTGTTAATCTAGTTTGGGCAGAATTACATTGTACCTAGGAATTTGAATTTGAATTTTTATTGTAATGATTCTCTTACTACTTTATCATATAATTAACTTTTGTTAGATCCCGAAGGGTACTTGCTGGTTTAGAATATTAAATTTGGCATGTGGTGGTTATTAAAATATTTTATTTCATTCCCCATTTTTTATATTTATAAAGTTTTTACTATTTTAATGTATCAGTAGACTTTGGTAATTTCTCACTTGTTTCTGTAAGCTATATAAACTCCATGGTTTTTGCAGTGTGCTCTGTCTGGATCAGCTCCCATTTATTGCACCAACATGACATAGTGGTGCATTTGATTACAGTCTTTGGTTTTTTTAAAAAAAATCCTCCGTGGAAAAGAATCCAGGAGCATATTTTTGCCTTATACTCTGTAGCTGTAATTCATGAGTAGTAGTTGACAAAAATAATTCTATTTATGAAATCTTGGAGTTCTAATGTACAGCTTATGACTTGGTTCTCTCTTTCCACTATGTGGGTTCCAGGGATTGAACTCAGGCCATCAGGCTTGGTAACAGGTGCTTTAATCCACTTCACCTCATAGGTCTGAGTGTTTTTCTGTAAGATGCTTCTAAAGTTTGGTGTAGGCCTCATTTGATCATGACTCAGTAGATTTGTAAAGTGTGCCACTAGTTTTTTGTTTTGTCTTTAGATTTATTATGTGTGTATGAGTTTTTGCCTGCACCTATGTATGAGTACCACATTTATGCCTGGTAGCTAAGGAGGTCAGAAAACCTCGGACTCCCTGGAACTGGACTTACTGTTGATTGTGAGCTGATGTGTAGGTGTTAGGTATTGAATCATGTCTTCTGCAAGAGCAGCAAGAGTTTTAACTGCTTTGCTAATCTCTCTGGTCCTACTGACTGCTATTGTTTTTAAGAACCTTGTATTGTATGTTTGTTATTTCTGGGCACAGATGATAGTTGGGGATTTCTCTATTCACTGTTCACCGAGATTGTTAAGTCATAAGGGACACGTTCTGGTGCTTATAATTTACTGTGGTATCTATTAGACAGCTCATTTATTTTATTTCTTTAATTGTTTTCCAGGAAGTTTGGTGAGCGGCCTCCACCTAAGCGACTCACTAGGTAAGCATTGTACTAGCATTTAAACATTGATTGTGTTTGGAGATTCTGTCATTTTAGACACTAATGAACAGCTCTTAGAAATCATCCAGATATGGTAATTACATCTTGATCTTATTTCCACCCCTCCACTTCCTTCTCTCCTATGGGGGGAAAACAGGATTAAAAGAATATACTTTAAAAATGAAAAAGTGAAGTCTTTTTAGAAACCTATGTAATAGATTGTGAAAATAACAGCTGTAGCTGTGTTTTACCAATCACACTTTGATGTTTAAGGGGAGAGTTGAGAGATTTCTTAGATGCTTTTTGAAGTGAATATTCCTTTTTCCCATTTTAAAGAAAACCTAAGATTTACTAACGTGTATGATATAAATATTTTAGCTATGTAAGTTAATTTCTCAATCATATATTTCAAAGAATTAATTTAAAAACTCATAAAAATTTTATTGGGTTGATAAATAAGGAAACCCAGTGGTCTTAGACCCAGTGTTGGCCTTTTTTCTTTTTCCTTCTAATTACTCTTTTAAGACAGAGGTGTGTGTGTGTGTGTGTGTGTGTGTGTGTGTGTTTTCTTTTGAACCTAAACTGGGACCCCATTTTATTATTGTTCTGCATCCTTTAAACCTCATAATGTATGATGTTACCGTAGACTTCGGAGTTCTAGCCACATCCTTCTGGTTCACATTGATGACTGTTAAGGCTATTTATTACCAAATAATTACTACTATTAAAATATTTATTAAAAATAATTGTGGGCCGTACACTGTGGTGCACATTTTTATTCCATATTGTACTCCCGGAGGCAGAGGCAGCCAGATCTCTATGAGTTCAAGGCCAAACTAAGGCAAGGCCAATCTACCTAAGTCCCACACCAGCTAAGGCTGTATAGTGAGGCCCTGTCTCAAGAAAGAAGGAAGGAAAAAAAGAAAAAGGGAGGAAGGGAAAGAAAATTGTATTTAAGAATGATGAACATTGGGCTAGATAGCTCAGAGGTCTTGTAAAAGTGCTGGCTGCTCTTCCAGAGGTCCTTAGTTCAGTTCCCAGCAACCACATGGTGGCTCACAGCCATCCATAATAAGATCTGGCACCCACTTCTGGCCTGCATTCTAGATGCAGACAGAACACTGTATACATAATAAATAAATAAATCTTTAAAAGAAAAAAAGTTCTAGAAAAGTTCTAGAAAATGCAGGCTGCCCTTACTGACAGCATACAGATGAGTTGTTTTTTCCAAGTGGGGAAGAGCAGAAAGGATTTCAGACTCCGAAGGACAGCTTTGGGGAACTGAGGATTTCTTGTGGTGGTGGTGTGGCGCACTCATGCTAACACTACCATAAGGTATGCCGATTAGATCTCAGTAAAACTTATAACATTTTAGTAACCTTTTTACATATAAGATATCCTGGGAGAGAAGCGTATCTGCTGGGGGAGAATTCCCCTAAGCTTTATTTCTCTTAAAAACAAACAAACTGCAGATATCTTCATTGCTGATACAAACTTAGCAAAGCCCTCTAATGGCAAATTCAAATTGAAAACGAGTAACTAATTCTGTGGAAATTAGTTTATATTGAGTACAAACTTGGAATTGGGATTTTTGTTGTTGTTTATTTCTATACTAAAATTAGAGCCATCTAATACTTGGAAATTGTATTTTTTGTTTCTCCTTTGAAGTAATTCTGCTTTAGGGAAACAGTGTCTTATTTGGGTAAAAGTATTTTAAGGAGTTGTCTCCACTGGGTATAAAAAGTGTAATGTGGGGGCCATGTCTTCTCTTATAAGGAACTTTCTAAGCCTACCCCGGGGGGGCTGTTCTTTTGTTCACCAAAGTAAACAGTTTTGGTGGGAGAGTCTCATTGGGGGCGGAGGAGTTCTTTCTATAAAATTTAAATTTTTAATTAAAAGCACAAATAAATGGAGTTAAGGACTATGGCACTATTCAGCATGACTAAATTTGCCTTTTTAATAATTAAATTTACTGTGTGTGTGTGTGTGCACATGCGTGTGTGCATGCATATGTTACACTGTGCTTGTGGAAGTGAGTCAACTTGAGAAAGGAATATCTTCTCATCTTCCTTAGGTGGGTCCCAGGGATAGAAAGCTACACAATTCTTTCAGAGATAGTTTTGTTAATTTTTTTCCTCCTATAACTGCAGACTAATAGCTGCTAACTCATTCTTGTTAGAATTTAACAGAGGATTTCCTTTATAAGATTTGCCGTGTCTTTAAAATTTATATAATTGTTAGAATGACTTTTTGTTATTCTCTCTCTCTTAATTTTTGTTATTTTGTTTATATTAGAAATAATACTTTTTAGAGAGCTTATCTCCTTTTGCTCTTACGGTAACATTGCTCTGTTCTTAAAAATCCTATGTGTGAGACATACAAACTATGTATTTTTGTTGACTTAAGCTAAGTCGATACCTGTTTTGAACAGTTTTTTAGTAGTCACCTGTTCTCTTTATCTGTTTAGTTTGTTATTGGGAAGGGGGTGTCATGCATCAGTGGCACATGTCTGGAGATGAGAGGACAGCTTTCAGAGTAGGTTAATCTTTTGTTAGGCTTGCAAGGTAGGCTCTACTTGCTGAGCCGTTTCCTTCACTTCTTCCTCTATATTTTTACGCAGTAAAATGCTACTCTTCTATACTTTTACATCGTAGGCTATTTTAATCCATTCTTTCTCCTAGTATATAAGACAATCTTGTACAAATGTGATTATAAACTTGATAAATATGCCATGTATGGTTGGATGAAACAGCTTTTACTTTGAAGGAATAACAGACAAGTTATAAATATATAAATTTAGGGCTGGAGAGATGGCTCAGTGGTTAAGAGCATTGCCTGCTCTTCCAAAGGTCCTGAGTTCAATTCCTGGCAACCACATGGTGGCTCACAACCATCTGTAATGAGGCCTGGTGCCCTCTTCTAGCTTGCAGACATACACACAGACAGAATATTGTATACATAATAAATAAATATATAAATTTATAAATATATAAAGTGATAAAATATAAATGACCACGACCCAGAACATTAATTTAGGTCTTTCCAAATACAACGTTTCAATGTGGAAGCGTTTTCATTTTCATGGAATTTTATGATAATAGCTCAAAGACAGTTATAACTCAAGGGAATATAAATGTACGTTGATACAGTCAGTTGGTGGTGGCACATGCCTTTAAATACCATCACTTGGGAGGCAGAGATAGGTGAATCTCTGCGTTTGAGGCTAGGCTGGGCTACAGAGCTAGTTTCACGATGTTCAAGGCTACACAGAGAAACCCTGTTTTATCAAAAAGCAAACAACATCAAAAAAGACCAAAAACACATTGATGGAAACATCAGAAAAGCAGGTTGCAGCAAGATGAGGAGATAGACCTTGTATGTTATCCAATAGCAAATACTCCTAGTCCTTTGGTGGAAAACTAGGTAGGATCCGAGGAAAGAAAGGACTTTACTTCCTTGTTCCTGTTTTAGGAATACCATCAGCTTGTTTACGTACACTATTAGTATTGAATAGGCTGAATTTGAAATGCCTTGTGTGTGATAGTATAAAGATAAAAATGACAGCCTCTGATAAGAATATGGAGCTTTGGACTGGGAGAGACACTCAGAAGTTAAGAGCACTGACTGTTCTTCCTTCTGGAGTTCCTGAGTTCAGTTCCCAGCAACCATCTCAAAGGAGATCTGTTGCTCTCTTCTGGCCTGCAGGCATACATGGAGCAAAACACTGTATACATTAAAGCAAAAGAATAGGGAGCTTCATTTTGTGAGTGCAAAATGGAGCTCGAGGTACTCACTTGGATCAGTACAATCTTAACTTTTCTTTCTTCAAGTCCAATTTTGAGAACAACAGAAAAAAACAAAAAAAGTTAAGGTTATTGTCAAGTATATAATTTGCTCATTTAAGGTATATATCATATATATGTGTGTGTATGTATATACACACATACATTGTTTTATGACTTCCGTTTTGAAATGTTTGTTTTATTGCTTAATAGATCAGCAAACTTTTTTTTTAAGTGCTCATGGTGAAAACTTCATAGACCATGTAAAGTACTGGCCTTCAGCAGATAATTCTTTCATTTAAATGTTTTTATTCTTCAAGAATTTCATGCGTACATACAATGTATTTTGATCATTTTTCCTACCTGATTCTTCCCAGATGCCTCACTCGCTCGAGAGTTTGTTTTTAAATGTAGAATAATCCATCCCCTCTTATCCATGAGGATGATTCCAAGACCCCTTCCCCCCAGTGGATTCCTGAACCTAAGGATCCTACTGCATCCTCATGTGCTGTTCTTCCTGCATGCACACACTTAGTAAGAGACGAAAGGGACAGTTACAGTGTTTTAATAAGCTGTGGAAATTCTCATCTTAAAGAGTTGATGAGTACTAATATTTTGAGATCTCAGTTGAAGGTGTACCAGTAAAATTGCAGAAAGCAGAACTAGATACAAGTAGACTGATTCTGGTCTTGAGCTCCTGTAACAAGTTTTTCAATTAGTTGACTTTATTTCCTTTTCTCCCTAAAAGACAGTAGGTGGTAGGTAATCTAGTATTGGAATATTTTTGACTTTTGTGGTTTTCAACCCAGGTGACAGCCTCATTCCCCACCCTCTACCTCAGTCTTTGTATTAGGAGATCTTTTATTGGCATCTGCTAGTAGAAGGCGGATGTGGTGTCTTTAAGCATCCTTAAATGCAAGGCCTAAGACTGCACAGCTAAGGGTCTAGGATGTCAATAGTGCAAGATAGAATCCCTGCTATATTTGGTGAACTCTGTGTGGATTTTACTATGTGTGTTTCTTTGGAGTACACCATCACTTTTTAAATAGCTTAAGTTACAGAAAATAAGTTACTAAGCCTTAATTGCCAGATAGCATTAATATTAATGATTAACATTCAGTTAGTACATTTTAATACTCAATACTCTTTTCTGTTGCTGTGGTGAATGAACACCATGACAAAAGCAACTTGGGAAAGAAAGATTTGTTTTATCTTACACTTTTAGGAAGTTAGGGCAGGAGGAGCTCAAGGCAGAAACCTGGCAACAGGAAATGAAGCAGAGACCATGGAGGAACTGACTTGCTTCTCATGACTTACTGAGCTACTTTTTTACACAGCCTGGCCCACCCACATGATCTGAACTCTGAAGGATTAAGAAAATACCCCACAGACATTCCCTCAGACCATTCTTTTTTTTTTAAATTAATCTATTTATTTATTAAAGATTTCTGTCTCTTCCCCACCGCCGCCTCCC